CGGAGGCCCACCTGGTGGCGAAAGCAGCGCGCGCACTCGGGGCACGAGTGGGTGGCGGGCCGGGCGTGGGTCTTCTGGTGCTTGAGCAGGTGCTGCTTCTGGCTGAAGCGCCTCGCGCACTCGGGACAGCAGAAGGGCCGCTCGCCCGTGTGGTGCCGCTGGTGGCGCGCTAGGTTCGGCTTCTGACTGAAGCTCTTCCCGCACTTGCCGCAGAGGTATGGCTTCTCCCCGGTGTGGGTGCGCTGGTGGATCTTCAAGGACGACCACCAGCTGAACCTCTTCCCGCAGTCCAGGCACACAAAGTGGCCTTCGCTGGCAGAGAGCGCCGGGCTCAGGGGGCCAGGGGCTGCCCCGGGAGCCCGGCCTGCCAGCCCCGCATCCTGCTCAGCGGGAGGAGTCCACTTTGGACCCCCAGTCTCCTCCTGTCCCCCCGAGGCTCGAGGCCTCCCCATGGTCTGGCATGGCGGGAGGCCCCTATGCTGCTGGAAGATGTTTTCCTTATCCTTCTCCGAAAGCCCAAGCGGCGGCACGGCAGCCACTGCAGCTTCTCTTGCTTGATCTTCATGGCCAGCCCATCTCCTGCAAGGGAGAGGGATGAGAGAGGTCAGTGCTGCTGGCCGCGAGGCAGGGGAGAGCAGAAGAGAGCTAGAAACCAGGCAGGAAGAGAGTGAAGAAGGCAACGATTCCAAAAGAAATCGGGAAAAGGAGAGTAAGGGAAGGCAGGAAGGACAATGAGATTGGGCAGGTTGAGGCTGGAGAAGAACAGAGGAACAGAGGAACAAAATACACGGAGAAATTGTGACTCGCTGGGTGGCAAGGCTTTGGGGTCCCCCAAGCATGGCTGTGTCCTTCTTTAAGGCCCCAAGAATTCAGAAAATGTTAAAGAAACCAACCTCGCAAAACCCCAGCCCCAGGAGTAAGGAGAAACTGGCAAGTTTCATAACACCGTTCTTCCCCTACAAGGACTGATGTGAGCTTTCCAAGGGCATGCCCAGCCCCTCCGGGGCTGAGGTGCTCAAACCCCAGGTCATTGCTGTGTGCCCTCCCCGGCTGGACTCCTGCCCCAGGGCGGTAGCCACGATGCATAACCACATCACTGCTGGGACCTTGGCTCTTTGGCAGCCTCTCCTTTCTTCAGCAATACAAGAACAGGACAGTGGGCCGGAAAGGCCTCGGCACACCAAACAGGAGTTGCCTTGCCTTATTAACCCCAATCCACTTCTTTCATGGGAGTCCCACACACACCACTCACAGCCCACGACGTATACCCTGCACCCTCTACAGCCGCGGTGTCTTCCGAGCTCACGGGAGCAAGAAGCTGGAATGGGACACAGCTGCTCTATATGCCACAGAAGCTGCGGATGGGAAGACTGACAGCTGGCCAGACTGATCCTCAAGGTAGAGGTTAGACAGCAGCTGCGTACTCCGTTACAGGGGCCCTGGGTTCTGCCAGTACACTCTCTCGACGGAGGAGATGGTGTAGAACTTACAGTTATGCCCCTTTCTGTATGAGTGCTACATTTCAATAAGTTTATGCTCACTAAAAAGCAGGTAGTGCAAGATAATTGTGAAAAAAGAAGAGAGAAAATGCCGTGGCCTGCATGGCTGGATGCATTTACTGAGGGGAAGTGGCTGTGGATTAGAAATAAACAGAAATATGGGACCAGCAGTTAGTGTAGTGGCTGTGTCACTGGACTCCCATGTAGGTGACCGCAATTCGAGTCCCAGACCCAGTGGCTTAAACTCACGCTGGGCACGTGTGCATACTGGCCCAAGATCCCGAGAGGAGAATGGAGGAGGAGATTGTGGCATGGCCATCCCACCCGGGGGTAGGGGGGGTGATTTCTCACTTTCTGTCTCTGTCTTTCTGACAAGCACACGTGCCCTATAGCAAAAATCTCTCTCTTAAAAAAAAAAAAAGAAACACACATAGACACACAGATAGAGAAAAACAAGGATCAGGTGGTCCAGACTTCCCTGAGGAGGCAGCTATGGTCCTGAACCTTTCTCAGGTTTATTCTTTTATGGGGCAAAGGGGGAAAGGGGACAGGGAATGCAAAGCCAGTTGTTTTCAGATGCTAATCGCTGAAGATGGGAAACCTCTGGCACCCTGCAGTCCAAATGAGTTTTATCTTCTCATGCCTTCTCTGGCTAACAGGTAGTTTCCTTTAACCAACACTGCCTTGCAGTCTTGACACAGAGACAGAACGCATATCCTTTTGTTAATACCTTCACTAGCCCTGCTGTGTCACCCAAAGAACCGCACTTCTGCCTGTGTTTAAAGGTCACTCTTGTGTTGCTCAGGTCCTGCCGCTCCCTACAAGAAAATCTCTAAACAACATTACAAAGACAAGAAAATAAGCTCAAAGGAAGTGGAATGAAGGTATTAATAGAGATTAAAAACAGAGATTTGCAGATAAAGGGAAACATAAAAAACTATCCTGAAAGTCCCAACTACTATGTATGGGCTGTAAGTCAATGGATTTGAAAATCTACATAAACATGATATTAAGAGAAAATGTAAATTAAACTGACTTGTGAGTAGGTAGAAAACCTGATTATAAACACTTAGAAGAGGGGGGCTAGCAGATGGTGTCATGATTGAGGTGCTAGACTCCCACATGGCCAACCACGGTTCGAGTGCCAGACCTGGTGGCTTGCTCTTTCACTTTCTCTGTCTCTCTCTGGTGAGTGCACATGCCCTATTATAAATTTATAAAATAATAAGAATAAAGATAAATAATTCTTATGGTACCAGCAGTTAGCATAATGGCTATGTTGCTGAACTCCCACATAGTCGACTGCGGTTCAAGTCCCGGACCTGGCGGCTTAAACTCACGCCAGGCGCATGTGCGTACAAGCCCAAGATCCCACGAGGAGAATGGAGGAGAAGGGATTGCAGCGTGGCCACCCCCCCGGGGGGTGATTTCTGGCTTTCTGTCTCTATGTCTCTCTCTGTCTCTCTGGCAAGTGCACGTACCCTATAGCAAAAACCTCTCTCAAAAAAAAAAAAAAAAGGTAAATAATTCCTTTACAAAATGGGTAACAGATATGTATAAAAGATCCTATTAAAACTTCTGAAGGGGGGGCTGGCAGGAGGTGTGGTGGTTAAGGGTGCTGGACTCCCACATGGCTGACCGTGGTTCATGTCCCAGACCTGGTGCCTTGCTCTCTCACTTTCTCTCCCTCTCTCTCTCGCTCTCGCTCTGCCCATCTCTGGTCAAAAATTTTTAAATAAATAAATAAATGGAAGTTAAATAAAATAATTAAAAAAAAAAAAAAAACGTCAGGGGCAGGGTTTTTCCCAGCTTGTATAGACCATTACAGAGGATGGAAGGGAGGGAAGAGGTCTATGGAGCAAGCATAACTGCAGTATCAAAACAAGAATGGAGTAGGCAGGAAAGTCTAGGTGTATCTGTCGATAAACCTAGATGCTTTGAACACGCATCAGCTGAACAAGTTCAGCAGTATTAGAACAATAACAAATTATGACCTTGCTGGAATTTTCTTCAGGAAAGCAAGGATGGCTTGATGTAATTCATGGTATCACATATTACAAGCGAAAAGGGTCCAGCAATGATAGCGTGTGCTCACGGTTGCTCCTTGGCGGACTAAGGCCCCATGGGGAGGCTTGGGTTTGATTCCATGCCCACCCTAAAGGCCAGACACAGAGGTGCACACCTGTGGTCCCAGCTCCGGGGGAGGCAGACGCAGGAGGACTGCAATAACACACACACACAGAATGAAAAACCTCGTACTATTCTCAACAGATGTGAAAAAGTCACATGATAAAAATTGACATTTCTGGAGGAAGGAGGAATGAAAAGAAGGAAGGAAAGGCCTTGGTAAATTAGGAGTACAAGATAATTTTCTTAAGCTGACAAAGAATGTATACTAGGAATTAGAGCAAACATTATAACCAAAGGCAAAAGACTGGAAGTTAGAAATAAAATGAGGATGCTCACTGCTGCTTATCCTATTTAAGTTTGCACTTGCGGAACTAGCCAAGGAACTAGCCGAAGCACACAGTGAAAGAAACGAGAAATAGAGAAATACAGGAAAGGAAAGCTGTCATCTGACTGTGACTAGTGACCTAGTGTGCAGGGGAAACCCACTGAGACATGGAAGGAAGAGTTGCGCATGACTGCCAGCCGCGAAAGCATACAAAAATGATGAACCTTTTAAAAATGGCAATAAAAAAGGGGGGACTAAAAGGGGCCAGCAGGTGGCATGGTGGTTAAGGTGCTGGACTCCCACATAGCAGCCACAGTTCACGTCCTGGGTCTTGCTTTCTCACTTTCCCTTTCTCTCTCTGGTAAGTGCCATGTGTCCTATAGAAAATTAAAAAATAATAATAAAATTGAATAATTTTTTTCAAAAGGCAATAAAGCTATTTTTAAATAACCAAGAATATACCTAATGAACACACAAAATTATATAAAGAAAAATATTAGACTATACTAAAGGGATAAGGAAAACCTAAATAAAAAGATAGATATATCCTATTCTTAGATGAGAAGGCAAGGAAATTCTTCACTAGAAAATAACATTTAAATTCAATGTAATCCTAATTAAGTAAAATTTATGATGTAATTAAATTGTCCAAAAAATCCTAGAAATGAACTATGGAGAATTTGGCTTCTGAATTAAAAGCTAAAATGCAACCACTACACACCCTGAAAATGGCTAAAATCCGTACACTGACAACACCAAATGCTGGTGAGGACATGGAGCAGCAGGAACTCACTCACTGCTGGTGAGATGCAGAAGCACAGCTGCTGGGAGACAGCTCAGTGTTTCTTACAAAGCTAGACACAGGCTGACTATGTGACCCAAAAACAGTGCTCCTAGGTATTGACCCAAACGAGAAACGAGCTGAACACTTATGTCCACACGAAAGCCTACACACAGATGTTTATAAGGTTCTTCATGACCACCGAAACTTGGCAGCCACCAAGATGTCCTTCAAAGGAATAAACAAACCATGGTATATCCATAGGATGGAGTATTATTCATGATAAAAGAAGTAAGCTATTGTGGCCAGCAGGTGGCAGGGTGGTAAGTCAGTGGGTCCCACAAGGCCAACTCCGCAGTTTGAGTCCTGGACCAGCGGCCTGGAAAACATGGCAGGTGCATGTGCTTGTATGCCCCAAATCCCAAGACAATGGGGCAGAAGGGATTGCAGTGTGGCCATTCCCCCTGGGAGGGAGGCTGTGATTTCTCACCACCACCCCATCCCCATTGCCCCATAGTGAGTTCACACACCCTGTGGCAAAAATCTTAAAAAAAAAAAAAAAGGCCCAGCAGATGGCATAACGGTTACATCACTGGACTCCCACGTAGTTGACTGAGGTTCGAGTTCCAGACCCAGCAGCATAAACACACACCAGGCACAAATGTATGCATGCCCAAAATCCAGAGGGGAGAATGGAGAAGGGTTTGCTGTGTGGCCATTTCCCCTGGGAAGTGATTTCTCGCTTTCTGTATCTCAAACACATACACCCTATAGTAAAAAATCTCTTAAAAGAAAATAATAAGCGGGACCAGCAGTTAGTGTAATGGCTATGTTGCTGGACTCCCACGTAGTCAACTGCGATTTGCGTCCTGGACCCGGTGGCTTAAAACTCACGCCGGGCGCATGTGCGTGTGTGTCCAGGATCCCGAGAGGAGAATGGAGGAGAAGGGATTGCGGTGTGACCATCCCCCCTGGGGGATGATTCCTCGCTTCTCTGTCTGTCTGGCAAGCGCACATGCCCTGTAGCAAAAATCTCTTAAAAAAAAAAGAAAAGAAAAGAAAAGAAAAGAAGCTATCAAATCAAAGACACCCTAAATTCATATTGCTAAATCAAAGAAACCAATCTGAAAAAGCTATATACTCTAGGATTCTATCTGATATTCTGTAGAGACAGTGAAAAAGGCCAGGGGTTAAGGGGGGAGAAGGGGAGGGTTGGTAGGAGAAAGATAAATAGGTAGAGCGTGGGGGGCTTTGGAGCAGGGCGGCTACTGGGTGCGATACTGGAACACAGGGTAAGATGTTATGTATTTGTCAAAACCCACACAATACTCAACACCAAGAGTGACGCGAATGTAAAGTATGGACTTCAGTTAGTAATAGTGTATCAGGGACCAGCAGATGGCATCATGGTTATGTCACTGGACTCCCACTTAGTCAACAGCGGTTCAAGTCCCAGACCCGACAGCTTAAAACTCTCGTGGAGTGAGTGTGCATGTATGCAGAAAATCCTGAGAGGAGAATGGAGAAGGGATTGTAGTGTGGCCATCCCCATGGGGGATGATTTCTCACTCTCTGCCTCTGTCTCTTCAGCGAGCACACATGCCCTATAGCAAAAATTTCTCTTAAAATTATATATATATATATAAATAGTGTATCAGTACTGGCTCGGCAACAGTAACAAATATACCACATTAAACCAATGTGAGTAACAGGAGAAACTGGCACCAGTGGCGTGGTGGTAAAGTACAAGGCTCAGCAGACTGACACGCATGGAAAAGTTCCAGATGCACACACACAAACCTCTCTGATATGCCAGGCACGTGTGTGCCCATGGTCCGGGGCTGGCTGGGGGCAGAGGGGAGTGGGACTCACAGCATCGAAACTCTCTTGAGGGTGCTGTCACTCTTCCTCTCTCTGTCTCAGTCACAGAAGACATAAAAAAAAATTATAAGTAAACAGGGGGGTAGGGTATAGGGAACTTCCTACTTTTCTTCATAATTATTTTGTCAACTTAAAACTGGTCTGAAAAACAGTCCATTTGGGGCCAGTAGGTGTATGGTGGTTAAGGGTGCTGGACTCCCACATGGCTGTGGTTCGAGTCCTGGACCTGGTGGCTTGTTTTCTCACTTTCTCTCTCACTTTCTCTCTCTCTCTCACTTTGTCCCTCTCTGGTCAAATATACATAAATAAATAAATAAAGTTAAATAATTCTTTACAAAAAAAAAAAAAAAAACAGTCCATTCCAAACAATGAAAGTGGACTAAAGCACTGAGTGATGGGATGGCCTTTATGCCCCGAATCCCACGGGTCTCTGCTTTGCCTGGTTAAAATGGCCTTGCCCATCACATGGCTGATGGCATGGGAGCTGTGCTCTCTCCGGTCAGAAAAATGACCCTGAAGGCCCCAGAATGCCAGCTCAGTGTTTCCTCGCATCCACCACTACCTCCCACTTGGTGATGAAGAGAACAAGGGCGGGCAGCCGAGGAAGCAGTGGCCACAGCTGCCTCCGCCTCCTCCAGCCTCTTACCTGTGCCGTTGCCAGCCCGGCTGATCTCCATCCCCAGGGACCTCCCACGGCATCGGCAGCCGGGTCCCAGTCCTGCCTTCTGTGGGTGAGATGGGAGCAAGAAAACAGAGGTTGGCCTAAGGGGCAGGATGACAACAGGTGTCCCAGTCCTCTGCCATGTCACAGAAAGCCTTCTCTATCCGTGACCTAGCTGAACTGTGACGGCTTCCTAACTGCACACACCCACGGAGAGATCAGCATGATTCTCACTGTACACCGAGGAGCAAGCCGGAGAGGGCCCCGGGGCCCCGGGGCTGTGCAGGGAGCTGGACGGCAGGGCCGGACTTCTACCTCCTAGACCAGAGCCTCACTCCCCACCTTGAACACCCCCAGGGTGGCAGGTGACTTCTGAGAACCAGGAACCTCAGACACAGTCAGAGATCTTCTGGAACCAGCCATGGCAGGGCTCAGAGGCAGAACTACGCTCCATGAGTCCTAGTTCACTGGCCCCTCCTCCAGGTCCCCGTCACACTCCCATTCCTTCCAGGGAGGGCAACTCCCGTCCCTCTCGCGAGAACATGGACAGCCAGTCAGTACCAGCTAACTGACCCCTTGTTCACTGTGTGGGGCTCACTGGTTTGAGGTTTATTTTATTCATGATAGAGAGCACATGTGTGCAAAGAGAGAAAAAGAGACAGAGAGAACTCTCAAAGTCTCGGCATGCCGCATTCTCTCCCCCCGCCGCCCAGCGTCCAGCTCACTGGGCTCTCGGGCATGCGTGTGCCCTGCGTGTCAGGTCAGTCAGGGTAGAGGTCCAAACCAGGCTGGCCCACGCCCTCCAACACCACAGCTCAGGTCCTTGCTGACCACGCCACCCAGCTGGGCTTCGTCTCTTTCTATGCCCAAGCCCTCTGACCGTGGCCAGCTGGGGAGGTCGTGCTGTTGCCTGGGGGCCTCCGGCCTTTGCAGATCTCTGCCTGGCTCGGCCCTCACTCCGTTCAGCTCTCTGCTTCAAAGCCACCTCCTCAGAGTAGCCTTCCCTGGCAGGTCTACATGGTCGCAGCCCAACCCCACCTCATCTGTCCCCTCTAAGGCTGTCCACCACCTGACATGACCTGGTCTGTTTTTCCCGGCTGTCACAAGGACAGGAGCCGTCGTGCTTGCTGCCAGGCCCCAGCACACAGAGCGGAGTCAACTGTAGGCACGGCGGGTACCTGGCAAACACATGGGCACAGCCATGCTGCCCTGCCTGATGCAGCACAGGGCCAGGGCTGTGGCCACCATGGTAGTGTGGCTGTCCTCCATGGACAGGGCCTGGTTTTACCTGCCTGCACCCCTCAGCACAGGGAGGACTTGAGGCTACTACCCCACAGAGGGGTAGGGCACTGCCTTCTGGCACTTCCGCTCAGAGACGGGCCCTCCTTTCCAGAAATTGCTCCAGGCCCTGGAGGGTCTCCCTCCTTCCCTTGCCCAGCTCCCCTCCCAGAGTCACGCTGAGCACATACCCAGACTGCAAATCTGGACTCTGACAAGAGAGGTTGGGGGCTGCAGGGGTTAAGGGTAAAAGAAATCTAAAAATGGAAGAAATCATTTTCTCTAGTGCAAAGAAGGAAAGAGACACCCACGCCCTTTCATCCTAGAATGTTTTCTTTAGAGCACTGTAAGGGTGTAAATCTTTTTAGAAACTAAGCCTTTCACCAGCTTCTCAGCCCAAGGACCTCTCCCTCCAGGGCCCAGAGCAAGCTCTCTGAAACCACGCAGGAAGGGAGACCAAGCCCCACCTCCCATCTCCAGGGGACATGGGCACCTACCCAGGCCAGGAGCATGGCTCCAAGGTGCAAACCGACTCGCCGTCATCAAGACAGGGGAATTTGTCTTTCCTTTGGACAAAAGCTGACAAAAGCTGACACAAATGAACATCCCAACTACAGGTGGGCCCAGGTGGAACCAAGCGTGACAAATGTCACTGTCCAGTCCTCCACTCAGGGCCAATCACAGCTCATTGTGAGAACACGCTGGCACCTGCTGGGCTATGCACAGGGCTCAGGGCAAAGGGGAGATATGAGCACCCCGTTAGGGTCTCACACGGTGACCTCCCCCAGCCTTCCCAACCCCCCAGGGTCACGGCATGTGAGTGCATGCCAGGCACGTCCAGGTCGACCAGAACCCATGCCCGCCCTCCCACGTGACTGCCAGCCCTGCAGAGCCCAGGCTGTGCTGCCTGATCCCAGTAATGACGGGGCTCTTAGGCACTCTCCCTGGGCTTTCTCGGAGACACCGAAGTCTGCCTGTGGTGCAGAGAAAAAGCAAACAAGGTGCAGAGAGGGAGGCCTACCTGAGGGTGCTGTGTGCCGCCCTGACCTCACCCTTCCCTCCTGGCTACTCCGCGGGCTGCTGCCTCCCCGCCTGGGGAAGCTCTCTCCAACTGGACTAAATGTCCACCAAAAGAGGCTCTGAGGACTGGCAGGCAGAGGGGACCCCTTTCAATGGCCAGGTGACAAATTGAGAGTGAGGACAGAGGGACGGGCGCTGCCTACACAACACGGCGGCGAAGGCGCTAGATGCCACGGCTGACTGCACCGTCTGCATCCCCGACTGGTGTCTTGACAATCACACTGACTGTGAGTGTGTGAGTGTGTGAGAGTGTGTGTGTGTGTGTGTGGCCAAAATCCCCAGAGGAGAATGGGCGGGCAGGGGTTATGTGTGGCCATCCCCCTGGGGAGCGATTCCTCACTTTCCTTCTCTCTCTCTCTCTGCCTCCAGTGAGCACACGTGTCCCAAAAAAGAAAAAAGAAAAAAGAAAAAAAGTGGAAACAAAGGCAGGGGCCACACAGGCCAGGGGACAACAAGAGAGGGTGAAGAGGGACGTTTCTGGAAGCCAGTGGGGCAGGCAACCCACAGGCCAGACCCTGGGAAAGCCCAGCCATGGACAGTCCTCACACAGACCCTCCCCGGCCGTCCACACCACACTCACCGCCTCTCGCTCTGCTGTGCCACGTGGCATGGCCCTCCTCGCCCACCACGCTGACAGGGTGCCCAGTTGACTGGACAGACAGCGGGAACCAGGAGAGCAGGCAGGAGCTCTCAGGCGACTGGCCACCCCACCAAGTAAGTCTCTGCAGCCACTCTGTCCACCAGGCAGGCCCAGCGCCAGCCTCGGGCCACCTTTCCCCCACTGCCCAGCCAGTTCTGTGGCAACAAGGACACATGGAGAGGAGTCTCAGGACAAGGCCCTTCCCTCGGCCTGGCCCTGGGCCAGGGCTGCATCAGGCTGCCATCAGCTAAGAACCCTCAGGGGGAAGGCCTCGGCCCAGGCCAGCTGCCATGACAACTGCAGGACCACACAAAGAGGGGACTGTGGTGGAGCAGGTGGTAAGGTCTGGACACAGGAGAGTTAACAAAGGGGCTTTGGTTTCAGCAGCCTCTTGGGGGAGAAGGGGGGACAGGGGAGACAGTGCAGACAGCAGCTGGGGCAAGGAGGGAGGTCAGAGGCCAGGAGAGGCTGCCTGTCCAGGTCTCTCCACCACATCCAAACCTCAGGCTTCTGCAAGTCATGCCCCAGCCAGGCACAGCTCTCTACGCAGACCAGGGCCCAGCAGGGACGAGGAAGTGGGTGACCCTTGTGCACCTCTGTCCCCTCCCAGTACTCCCTCCAAAAGCAGAAGCTTTGAGGGGAGCAGTGCCCCAAACCCCGGCCAAAGGCTCGTCTCAGCCACGAGCCCCCTCCAGGTCCTCGCCTGCTGCCCCCTACTCACCTGTAGCCACCAGCCCTTGCCCTCCCAGGAGACCCACCCGGACAGGAGACAGTCTTCCCTGGGTCCCCCCATGCCCAGCAACACCCTCTGCCCAGGCTCCCAACCAGCAGCGTCCTCCCCTACACTGGGCAAGCCAGCCTGGCCCTCAGGAGAGCCGGCCTCCATCCCACAGGCCCTCCCTGACTGCTACGTCCTCCCAGTCCCGCTCTCCCTGCATGACCCACTCACTCCAGTCAGCTCCCGGGGACTGGACCCTAGGCTGAGTGCCAGCGCGCTGCCCACCCATCCAATGTGCTCTCAGATGCCCAAGCAGAGCTGTGCGGCTCGCCACCTCACTTGAGGGAGGTGTGGGGTTCCCCCCAAACAGCTTAATGTCCATCCGGCTGTGGGAAGAAGAGGGACAGCAGAGCGCCAGAGCCTGCCGCGAGCCGATGACATGCCAAGCACCTAGCAGGCACACGCCCGTCCACATCATCCTTATACTAAATGAAGCATGGCCAGAGAAGGTAAGTCATTCACTCAAGGCCACACAGCTAGTCCTGGAGCTAGGGTGCAGCTGGGGGAGTGGAGGAGCACCTGCAGCGTGGCCACACTCCACTAGAGGTGCTTTCTCCTCCTCCCTCTCTGTCTCTCTCCGGCCAGCATATGCACCCTCTGGCAAAATTTATTTTTATTTTTAAAATTTTTCACTTATTGTAGTGATTACTGTTCTTGCTATAGGACACACGTGCTCACCAGAGAGAGAAAGAGACAGTAAGACAAAATGAGAACGCGAGCCACCAGTCTGGGACTCGAACCGCGGTCAGCCATGTGGGAGTCTAGCACCTTAACCACCATGCCTCCTGCTGACCCTGGCAAAAAAAAAATATATATATCTTTTTAATTCGGTTTCTCAAACACACTGGCCACATGTAGGCATTTAATGGCCACATGCGGCTAGTGGCACCGTGATGCCTGGAGATCACGTCCGTCCCCCAGAAGGCAAGCTCTGGGGAGGGGGCCCTGCCGCCCTGCCCATTGCTGCCATGCAGGAGGAGCTTCATGAGTACTGAACGAGTACACGGAACAAAAGGAGGACTCTGAAGAGGTGGCTCCTCTGCCCCAGCCCTGCGTCACCAACAGCAAATCCCTCAGGACTCGTGCCCGGATGCCAGTGCTGTGTCTGGAAACCGACTTCGGTGAACAGCAGTGGGTGCTTCATTTTAATACGATCGCAGGCATGTGAGCTGTATGAACATTATGCAGGACCAGCTGGCGGCCTGATAGTTACAGCAGCTGGATCCCATGTGGCCAACTGCGTGGTTTGAATTCCGGACCTAGCAGCTTCAAAAATGCACCAGGCACATGTGCATGCATGCCCAAAATCCCTACAAGGAGGGAGAAATGGAGGAGATGGGATTACAGGATGATCATGCCCCACAGGAGATGTTTTCTCTACCCCAATACAGGGGGATCTTTTTCTGGTGAGTAAACACACCCTTTAGCAAATTTTTTTAAAAAAGCACACACAAACACACCCAGACACAATCATATCTAAGTAAATGAAAGTTCAAAGATGCAGAAACCAAGAGCCACTCCGAGACATGAGAACACCTGCCAACTCCGTATACAGGTGCTGGGAGAGGGAGAGACTTTAAAAACTCACAGACAAGCTTTCGGACCCATGGACAAAGTGCCATCGTGAACCACATCACGACAGAACACACAGCACACTCGTGAAAGCAGAAATGTGAAGCTACATTAACACAGTGTCTTCAAACGCTCACCCCAAGGGGCCCACCCGGTCCCCGGAACAGACTCAGAGGAGGCGGAAACAGAAG